GGGGGCATTGGGGATGGGGGGGCGGAGAAAAGCACAGAGAAATTAGGACAGTGAGACTGAGGCGTGAAAAAGGAAAACGGGGGCATGTTTGCCGCATGCAAGTCCCTCACTTTGTGAGGTGGAACTTTCAGAAGCTTCATGCTCGCTTTAGACCCAGGGTCAAAGGTCAAAGTCAGAGCTACTTCAGGCCCTGGCAGAAACCTGGACACTGCAGCCTTTGAAGTGATAAAAAAAATACTCCGTTTTTCTGCTACTTCTGTTACTTAAGTTCTGCTAACTGGAATCACCTTTCCTATATATTTAGTCATGATTGAAAATGAAGGAGTGGGTCATTGCTGGCTGTGAAACCAAAAGCCTGAGCATTTGGATCAACAGAAAATAAATAGCGGGGGGAGGTAGAGAAAATCCATATTTTTGTGAGTCAATCTGGTGTGTCGGCAGAGCGCTGTGGTTCCTGAAGGCTTGTGCCTGCAGTTCCTGCTCATAGCCACAGGGTGGCAGCAAGGTTCCCACACAAGTGTGCACACAGCAAGAGAAGGCTGGAATTTCTGGCACCTCAGATCTGTAATGGGGGCTGGGGTATTCTAAAACTAAATTACCCAGTGGTTACTGCTGAATCATCTGGGCAAGTGCAATTTCAATGCACTTCAAGGAACTTTTACCTTTTATGGGTGTGAGGTGGGATGTGGGTCGGACAGGAGTAGCGGAACACGGCCTGTCCTGCGTGCCCGTCGAGGTGCTGGCTGGCGGCAGGAGGGGGTCCCTTTCGTGCCCATATGTGCTGGCATGCGCCCACAGCTGACTGGGGAGTCTGTTTGTGCGCGTGGGTGTTTGTAGCAGACAGCACACGCGCACAAACAGCACAATGGTCGTAGAAGCCAGGTGCCCCTCGTGAAGGGGAGGGGGCGGGTACGGGATAGGGCAGTAAGTGTCGGGGGGGCGGGGTCAGGTAGTTCCATGTCCACTTACAGAAGATGGCGGGGGTGGGGCTTTGCGGGGGCCCCGTCTCTGGCAGAGAGGTGCTGCTTGATTGGGTCTTAACTGAGCTGCTATCTAGACTCTTCCCTGTCCAGACCAGGAATAGGGGAAATTTGGGAGGGGGGGGGAGAAGGAGATAATGAAACATAAAAAAAGAAGACAGAGAACATGTGACACATGGTGGGGGAGGGGGGGGCAGAATTAGGACGGGGAGCCTTGAGCTCTCTATGCCCACTGATTGGACAGTGATTCCTGCATAAGAGTGGCTGGCAAAACACCTTTGATCGACAGGCCATTTTCCTGCACTGTCACCTGTGCATGTGACAGAGACTGACAGGCCGCACGGCCGGATAGGCGAGACACAGAGAGGAGCCGAAATCACACGCTGCTGTTCTGCCGATGTCACACGAACCCTCCGTTTGCTATCCGTCCGTCACACTCGATCCCACGACGGCAAACTTGCTCCCACGCCAGATCCCACACGCGCATTTGTGCATTTGTGGTGCTGCGCCGTCACCTTTGCCATCCTGCCTCCCACAGACACTGTTATAAATACGTCTCCCTCTCTCGTGTCGCCCTGCCAGTTTCCTCGCGGGTGCTATAAATACCCGTAAGGTGCCCTTACAGTGTCCTCTCTGGATGCCGTGTGACAGCCGCTCCAGTCTTTAACCTTCCCACTGCAAGCGCCGTCCCTGTACATCGTGACCCAGATAGCGCAGCTCCACAAATTGGACTGGCACAGAACTCTTCGGCGAGGGGCATGTGGGGCGTGCGGGGGAGGGTCTTGACGTGGACACCCTGCCAGCACGTCTAAGTGGGCGTGAGGGTTTGGGTAAGCGAACAGCAGCTACTGGGCCGCCTTCAGAGGGCGGCTCCGCTTCCTGCGACGGCCGTGACTGCCCCGTCAACCAGGGCGGGCGACTCAGGCCACCAAACGGCCGGTCGGACTCACCTTTCACGTCCTCGTCCTCAATGGTGGTGTTGCTGCTGTCAGAAGACTCCTGGGAGAGACCGGAGGGATACAGAGAGGAACAGAAAGAAAGAGAGAGACAGAGAGAGAGAGACAGTGGTGTTACTGCGGGGCAGTGCTGTGAGGCACAGTGAAACACAGGCGTGCGGCTCCTGTGACGCCTGACCCGTCTGCCTGCACCAGTGCGCACAAACACACCACAAGACGGCGCAGAACAAGGACAAGCTGCCATCACCCACATTAGCCGGCGTTAAAATGCTCTGGTTCCTCACTCCCAGCCTCTCTCTCTCCCTCCCTGCAGGCGCCCACTCTCTCGCAAGCTGCCTGTCACAGAGGCTGCACAATAAGCTACTTTGGGGGGGGGGGGCAGGGCAGCCGGAGGGTCCCGGTTACTCTACACAGAGCGGACACAGGCAGGGATTGCGGTCAGCTGACTGTCGGCTCACGGGGAACCTCCCTGACTGTACTTCAGGATTTGAACAACAGGGGGAACTGTGGAGTCAGCCGAGATTCGGAAATCAATTTTCTGGCTTGAGATCAACCTGGTTTCATCCGACAGATACATATCAGATCAGCAGACACATATCAGATCTGACAAATACATATCTGTCAGATTAATACTTATATAATGCACCCATAGTATATAGTGGATATTTAATACATCATTCTGCTTATTTATATACATTAATCTTGAATCTTCCCTTGAAAATGAGTGCCTTTTCTTGCTTTCTTCATCTCTTCTTGGGCACGCTCACGTCAATCATCCCTTCCCTCTTCGTTGGCAGAGTAGCTGCAGTGTCTCTGACCTTGCGGCCTCTGTTGCATATCCTAGTTTAAAGCAAACCCTGGCTTTCCTGGGGAGTTTAAGGGCACTTTTTAGGGCACTATTGGGCACAAACACCAAGGACCAGGGCACATGGGGGGGGGGTGGCGGCGAAGCTACTGACAGGGAGACAGTGAGAGAAACGGCGAGCAGGACCAGCAGTGGTACAGGGGAGCAAGCGACCTGCGTTATAAGACACACTCCTTGACCATTTCCCTCTCGTCAGCTGGAAAGGCAAAATGGCTGGGCTTAATTTCCTGCCCACAAATACACAAAGGCACACAACAGCCCATGGGAGGGGCTCCAGTTCTAGCTGTGAGGTTTTGCACTGTTTTGAGGGTGTGAAATGCTGCACTTGTCTGTTAGAGGCTGAGAGGCCCATCATTCTCAAAGGCTGCAGTTTTCCCAGTTGGCCACTTGGTGTCACTGTGGTACACTGAGAAATAATGCACTCAATTCATACTTGTCCCCAACTGCTCACGAATGGGGAAAAACAGCTATAAACAATTTACATTTCTAGCTATTTATATCAGCTCTTTAGTATATATTGTTCCATCAGTTTCAATCCTCTTAAGGCTGTCTATAATCTTAAAGTGCAGATATTAAACAACCCTACAGTCAATCCATTGACAGTAAGACACTTTTAAAATGAAACAACCACATTGAGGGATAACCAAAAGTACGAGTGCATCTGAAGAAGATTATAAAGATACCCAAGGCTGTTTATATCTATCAAAAACAGCCATACTTCCAATCAGGCTGACCTTAATAATTTGGTTCCCCATGGTGTTGATAGAATTGGCTAAACAACCCTAACCCTAACCCTAACCCTAAAGAAAAGCTCGTCTTCTTGCTGTTGATCACTTGACATGAGAACACAGCAGTGTGTGGCACTTCACACGCACAAGTCCTCACGGGAGGGTGGGTCGATTGAGCCCCCCCCACCCCTCCACACACGCACACACACACACACGCGCACACACACACACACACACACACACACAACCACACGTAGAGGGGTGTGGGCTCAAACACCATGCTGGTATGACCCCAGTCACCGATGGCGTCCCAGAGACAGTGAGAAGGAGACAGAAACTCATGATGGGGGTTGGGGGGGGATGAGAGGCTGAGAAGTGGGTGGGCTGGAGGGGGGCGGGAAGATGTACCTTGATCCCATCCACTGGGTTATGGATAACAGTGGTCTGAGGCTCCTAGAGAGAGAGATAGTGCCAGCGAGATAGAGAGAGAGAGAGAGAGAGAGAGGGTGCAAGAGAGAGGGTGTGAGAGAGAAAGGGTGCAAGAGAGAGAGTGAGAGAAAGAGCGCCCAAGAGAGCGAGAGGGCACAAGAGAAAGGGAGGGTGAGGGAGAGAGAGAAAGAGGGAGAACGAGAGAGAGATGCAGAAGCGTGGGCGTGAGGATGAGAGATGGAGAAGAAGAGGCAAAGAAAGGAGGGAGGTGACAGCAGAAAGAAATGGAGGAAGAGCAAGAGAAGAGAGTGAATAATTAGGTCTGGAGGAAGAGAAACACAGATCACGGCAAGTGACGAGGTTAGCGGAAGAGGTTGGGTGGGGGGTCGTCATTATGGCCGTGGGGCTAAGAGAGCGAAAAAGAGGCCAAGGGGCACAGAGGGGACCTCTCCGCATGGGGCCACCCTGTCTCCCGGCAGCCCCCACGGCACGGCAAGCATACTGCCCCGCTGGGCCGAGGTTGCATTAAGCGATGGCCAGCTTCTGCCTGAGGTGGGGGGGTGTTTGGTAGCACACACACAGTTGAGGTTTATCCATCTGGATGGCAGAGGGCTGCGTGTCTCCCCAGGACACGTATCGCTTCACCTGATGTCTTCCATGTGAACCGCGGCAAACCCCCAGCTTAAAAGGCCCTCTTTGGTATGAGCAAAGGGACAGCTGGGCTCCTTAAGAGCGGTGTAAGGGGGGGTGGTGGATGGTGGTCTTATCCCTGGGACAAGTTATGGAAAATCCTTACGTGATTGCTAGATTTCTGCTTTTCTGTTTAGGGTGCCACATGCTGTCTCAAGGGATCCCATGAACACCAAGGGGCAGGACATCGGCCGCTGAATGATTTGGGGTTAGGTGCCCTGGGTGAGGATGACCCGCACGGCCATTGTCTGGAGGGGGGAGCTTGGGGGCTAGGAGGTGTTTTTGGAAGGTCATCCTCTGGAGTGCAAAGCCGAGGAGGTCAGTGGCCATGAGCATGTCGGAGTTAGATCCATGTCAAGAAGCTCGACACAGTAATCTATGTATCAAAGTTATCAACCTTTTACGTCTCATTTATTAATGATGGACAAAATGATGCTTCATGAACCATTTGCTGTATTTTTTTGACCCCACTAGATGGTGCCCACTATTCAATAAAAGGGTACAAAGCACGTCCCAAAGCAAACCAAGTGCACCATCTAGTGGGGTCAGAAAGTATAGCAAATGGTTCATGAAACGGCTTTTTGTCCATCACTATCATTTATAGGCTTATATTACATTGAATACAATTTATTATAGTAGATGAAATGCTTGGAATTGATTTGTACATCATGGTGAGCTGGAGTGCTCAGGAGGATCTCTGCAGAGCTTGAGAAAGCACTTAGCAAATGAATTAAAGATGAATCTTTTCTGAGACACATGATGTCACTGCTGTACATTCCCATAAGCTGACAGGCCAGACGAGAGCAGCCCGCTCTTGACTTTTCTCCTCCCCTGGTCATTAAGGCCTCGTGTTCCTCAAGAGATCTGTCTCTGATCTGTGATACCTTCATCACAGTGTTTGTCAAGAAGTTTGGGAAGGAATAAAAGTTCACGAAAGTTAGACGATGTGAAACGAGGTCATGGACGACGAATGGATTCAGAAAAATCCAGAGAGAAAGTCTTGACCTAAATAATAGTTAATAATAATAATTAAGTAACTGTTTCTCTGGTAATGGTTATACGATTCCTATATGCTTTTCATGGTACTTTCAGTTTCAGAAGAGGTTGTCTCATTTATTCTAGTTTTCGTCCCTTCATGTGCATTATTCATCCGATTGCATAACAAATAATTCACTTGAAAATGTCTCATTTAAATGAAATCTTAAATTTAAATGTCTTCTTCAAGTTATTCAGTCTTGAGGAAAGAGGGTTATTCAGTCCTCTGAAAACGCTCACTTGGTTATTTTTTAAAACACCGGATTGGTTGTTATAGTAACAAGCCAGGGAACGTTAAAGCTTGCTTCATAAAACCAAGACGCTGGGGATACATTTTTTTACATGTACAATGGGGTAGCTATGTAATGCTGCTTTGTCAGATGGAACACTGCACTGAAAAACGTGGGCATATCCATCACTGCTTAACATGACTGTTTTAACTGTCGAGGACGGCATGACTGTGGATATCTGCTGTGCTTGTATTGGGCAAGATCATTACATATGTTCACAGGGTCCGTCTCATTGGTCCACCGTGTCAGCGCTCTTCTGTAGCCAACCGGCAGCCAACACATTTCTGCATCGCTGTGGCTGCTTTGTCACCACGGCAACGGTCACCCTGGGAAACAGCTACATCTACGACAGCAGCGGCTCGAGATTCCAGGCACGGCGTGGGGAGTCGGAGACTGAAGCGGGACTTGAGGCAACAGGCTAAAGCGAAAGGCACGCTAAGGAAATAACAGCAATGCTCTCTAGCGCCCCCATATGGATCTGTTAGGCAGATACCCGGCACAGCACAGACCTGCCTTTGCTTATGTACGTGGTAAATGCTGTCACTCTGCGGCTTTGTCAGAAGGCCCATCGGGCATCTCCTAACGCACCCTGCGGCCACCACTACCACATCCCTGCGGCCACCACTACCACATCCCTGCGGCCACCACTACCACGTCCCTGTCCTGATGGCTGACCTCTGCACCAGGGGTCACTGAACGAGCTCCCAACCCACGGAAGTAACTGCTGTCAGCGCGTTCAAATCTGACCGAAGCATTTTTTTTTTTTACACCCCCATACATCAATAATTCTTCAATTACTAGAACATGTCCGTTTCACTCATACCTTCATTAATATATATAACCATTGTTCATATTACTGTTGAGTAAAACCCCCGTTTTTAGCAAAGATCTCATCTCGCAGTGTTGACTGTACAGCAGTGAATAGCATATTTCATGCATCAGTACGTAACAATTGCTTCCGAAGATATAAAAACATATACAGTGTATTTTTATGTTCCTATGACATTTGGGATTGCTGGTAACTGACATGTATGTGACCTTTGAATAACGAACTCAATGGACAGTGAAGTACAAGCATCTCTTTTTTGTGGTGACCATTTGGCTGGAAGTAATTCAGTGGATTGTGACACTGGTACATAAAGC